GCACTCATCTTAATGAATATTTAGCAAAAATATAAGGTAATAAAAATTGTTAAATGGCAAAAATGCTGCTAGATTAAAAAATAAACTATCAAGTAATGTGTATCAAGTAATCATAATAACAGAGAGAATAATCAATGGACTAGAGTAAAAAAAAAAACCCATCATAATAATTTATGCCAAGCGAGAAACAATACATAAATGTGGAAAGAACTCACTATTATAGTAATGCTTTGGGGACAACTGGATACCAGAATGAAGAAAAATTAATATGGAGTCACACAACATACTACATAAAATCCAAGTAAGCCAGGAATGAATAAACCTTTAAAAATAAAACAGAGCAGCACACTCATATTGACAAATGTCTGTGTATTTAGAACATGAAGATTATATTGTAAAAAAGAATACAACCAATTTAAATACGATTTTCTAAACTTTTGCCCAAAAATGTAATTAAGAAGAAATAACAGAATAAAAAGAAAATGCAGGTGAAAAGACCGGGCGTGGTGGCTCAAACCTGTAATCCCAGCACTTTGGGAGGCCGAGCTAGGTGGATCATGAGATCAGGCGATCGAGACCGTCCTGGCTAACATGGTGAAATCCTGTCTCTATTAAAAATACAGAAAATTAGCCAGGCATGGTGGCACATGCCTGTAGTCCCAGCTACTCAGGAGACTGAGGCAGGAGAATCGCTTGAACTGGGAAGGTGGAGGTTGCAGTGACCTGAGATCTCGCCATTGTACTCCAGTCTGGGTGTAGGTTAAACACAACTAATGTAGCCCATTAACCAAAAGATAAACTACTTTGATGCAATCATGTAGAATTTATGCCCTGATTCTAGGGGAAAATGCAGATATCGAGTCTTCAGGGATAAAAGCCTCACCACTAGCATTCATAATCAAGCAAAGTAAAACAATGTACATCACCATCACTCACTTACCAAACCAGCAAAATACATTAAAGCGACACTGGCATTGGTTGGTCAGTGAGGAAACAGGTATACAAATAAGAATTTGTAGATTTTACAAATTTTTCAGTCTTTTTAGAGTATAGTCAGGGATTATATGATTCTTTAAATAACATAATTTATAATACTTAATCTACAAAGCTAATTTAAATAAATAGAGATATGGTAAAAAAAAATCAGTTAAAAAAACTCCTTGATTTCAAAAGTATGCTATTAATATCCATGAGTATACATAGGGTCCACCATTACAATCACTTCTTCAGAAATACCCTCCACTATTACTTTTTGGACAACTCCTTATTCTTGGTAAAATGTATCATCACTTCTTGTTGGCTGTCTGTCCTCAGGCAGCCTCCTGAAACATGTTAAACATCTCAGACCTCAAGCTGGTGCTCCATACTGTCTGCTAACCCTGCATAGTTTCTCTTATGAGTTCACTCTCCCACACTGCATCACACCATCTTTCTTTTCAAACCTTTCACATCCATCCTGACCTCACCCATACTGCTGATGCTCTCTCCTCACTTACTACTGAGAAAATAAAAACCAGAACAAAACCTGCATTTCCAAAACTGCAAAATTACGTACACTTGCAGACACCTTCCCTTGTTCCCTATTATTATTACTATGGAAGAAGTGTGCCTCCTCTCAACCCAGCTCCCATGCCTCTACCACCACCTTACTGAATAATAAATTAGAATCATTCAATGCAATCTATTGTCATCTCTTAAAATACCCTTCTATCTTGGCAATTGGGACTCCTCCATTACCCTTGTTTTTCTTCTGCCTTTCTGGCAACTCACCCTATGTCTTCTTTGCTGGTCCTCCTCTACCTGCATCTAAATGATGGCATTTCCCAGAAACTTACCCTGAAACTTCTTTTCTGTCTAGCCTCTTTTGAGGCTTACATCAATTCCTTGGTTTCTTGGTTTGAGACAGGGTCTTGTTCTGTCGTCCTGGGTGCAGTGCAGTGGTAAAATCACAGCTCACTGCAGCCACACTCTCCTGGGCTCCAGCAATCCTCCCACCTCAGCCTTCCAAGTAGCTGGGACTACAGGCATGAACCACTGCACCCAGCCCCAAATTGTCAAGTCCTTTTTTTTTTTAAATCCTGCTAATTTCACTTCATTGTTGTTGTTGTAAAGATAGTGTCTCACACTGTTGCCTAAGCTGGTCTTGAATTCCTGGGCTCAAGAGATCCTTCCACTTCAGGCTCCCAAAGTGCTGGGATTACAGGTATGAGCCACTGTGCCCACTTTCCTTGGATTTAAATATTGTCTTTGTCCTGATGGATCTTTGTTCTAGGTTCTAGGAATATGACTCTGGAGATATAGCTTTGTGATCCAGTTGCATATCTAAGATCCTGTTTTGATGTGTCTCAACTTGGATTCAATTTGTCTTGAATGAAATTCTTGATGTTGCATTCAAACGTGTTCTACCAAGTTCTTGTCTTTCACATCATTCACTCAGTTTCTCAAACCAGAAACTCATGAAATTGTCTTTGACCCTCCTCCTTCCTTCAATCCACTTTTAATCTATCAGTAAGTCCTGTCGATTCAAATTCTAATGATAAATTCTTCAAATATAACAAGACTTCCCAGGTGTGGGCAACTGCATGCACTCCCTGCCGCCCAGTCTTTGCACTGGTCAATTTCTCTTCTTCCAGCCATCAGCGTCAACGTCACTTCCTCTATGAGGCCCTCACTGACCACATGGACATGGGCCACCCATTACTGTCCATCCCAGACCCTTGCTTATTTTCTCCCTAATAAAACGTTACAGTTCTTTGATTACTTATTTGTGTCTCCCTTACTAAACTGCAAACTCCTGGTGGAAGGAATGGTGTCTGTCTTCACTGATTCCTGGCATACACTGTAGTTTCTCACACACAGCAGGAACTTATTAAGTTTTTACTTAATGAACAAATGTCCTCATTACTTATTTGTTTTAGGTTTCTTGTCATTACTTAAAGTCAGATTTGAAACAAGAATTATAAATCATCTTTGTACTTCCTGCAATGCCTAGCATGACATCTAACACCAAGTACAGACCTGAATAAATCATCTAGTGAGGGGAATAAATTTCTCCATCTTACGCTGTGTCATCGGCAGATGAGAAATCCCCCACCCCACTCTCTGTGGACACTGCGCCTAAAGGAAATGATGTTAGAACCAAGCAGAACGTCGTAAAATAATTTTTTTTAAATTCAAAAACTGGCTTTTTGAATTATTTCTCTACCTTTCCATAGTCATCTCCAATATGGACTTCCCACTTCCTTATTTTGTATCATAACATGTTCTCCAAAAGCTAAGTATCTCAAAGAAGACTTTGGAAATTCAGCCTTCACTATTGGATAAAAGGACACCTGTGAAAACATTGTCAATCGTCCAGTCAAATTCTAACCAGATTGGGGTCAGGGTGAAGGTTGATAAAAAATTCTAAAGCGAATTGGCAAAATAAAGATATACAAGTATCTGCACAAATTCTGAAAAATAAGAGTATTGTGAGTTTAAAATATCTGACATTAAAACATATTGTAAAGATAAAGTGTTTAAAATACTTTGGCTTATAGGCAAGCATAGACAGAATAGAACAAAACAGAGAATCAAGGAAATATGCAATAAAAGATGCACATATGGTGTATTATAACATTGGCATTCAAATCAGTGGGGAAACTATATGAATCATTCACTAAATGGTGATAGGACAAATGATTATAACTTGGAAAAACTAAAGTTAGACTCCTACCTTATGCTATCACTGAAATATATCTTGGATAGTCTATATCCTCCAATATATATGTTGAAGGATATTCATTAGAACATTCTGTGTAATTTCTTTTTTTTTTTAGATGGAGTCTTGCTCTGTCACCAGGCTGGAGTGCAGCAGCGCAATCTCAGCTCACTGCAACCTCCGCCTCATGGGTTCAAGCGATTCTTCCGCCTCAGTCTCCTGAGAAGCTGGGACCACAGGTGAGTGCCACCACGCCCAGCTAAATTTTTTTTGTATTTTTAGTAGAGACAGGGTTTTACCACGTTGGCCAGGATGGTCTCAAACTCTTAACCTTGTGATCTGCCTGCTTCGGCCTCCCAAAGTGCTGGGATTACAGGCGTGAGCCACCGCACCCGGCCATTCTGTGTAATCTTAAATAAATCCAACAATAGCTTGGAAATAACCCAGTGTCTGCAAATTTACGGTACATTCATAGAATTCAATACCACACAGTTGTTGGAAAGAATTCAGAAGATCTATACATGCTGATGGGAAAATGTCCAAGACACACTTTTAGATAGTGAAAGTGAGTTACAGAAAAAAATAGAGAATCCTTTGAGTGTGTGCATGTGTGTGTGTGCGTGTGTTTTAAGAGTGCATTTATAAACACATTTTTTGGAAGGATGTACAAAAATCTGAGAATGGTTACCTCTGAGGACTGTGAATGGAGGGAGAAAGGAAGACAAATTTTTAGTCTTGACTTTATACCTTCAGTGCTTTCTGAATTTATTATCTACAGCATGTAACTTTTGTCATAGAAAATTTAACAGAATAAGATAAAAATAATTACCATAGCAAACAAAGGAAAAGGAAAGAAAAGACAAATGCAGAAGGAAGAGAAAGAAAAAATTATGTACTTTTAGGTTTTAATATATTTTCAGGATAATTACTAGTGTATATAAAACCTGATTACATTTCTAGTCCGGTTTCCAGTATTCTCAACCAGGAATTCACACAGTCAGTCCTGAAAGTGTTTGCATTAATTAGTCCAATTACTTCATTCTACAGATGAGCATATTGGGACCCTGACATCACAGTGACAGTATTCTCTTTTAGACAGACTCACATTCATGCTTTGGAACGTCAGCCTCAAAATATACACAGAAAAGCAAAGACAAGGGTCCAAAATAGGATGAGGCAGAAGAAACAAAGAGAGGTGTCCGTTGTCGAGCTATTCTGAGGTGCCAGGCATGATGAACATGCAGAATGCAGCACCTCAGGGGGGCGGGGGCAGGGTCTGGCTACAGTGACCGGGGCTTACCTTGTAGTGACTGAGGGCATTTTCAATGGTCAGCTCATGATGAGACGTGTGTTCAGGGGACACCAGGCATTCCAAACACAGAAGAAGTCTGCTCTCCTCACAGAACCTGCACACCCTCTTCTGGTGGTTGAGACAGATATAACCTGTTCCCAGCACTTCCTCAGAACAGGGCTTCCGGCAGAGGGGGCAGCAGATGACCCCGGAGGCTGAGGCCTTCTCCACATGCTGTTTCAGGCACACTCGACAGAAGAGATGTCCACATTTGGTGCTCATGGCCTCCTTCAGGCTCTCCTGGCAGATGGGGCAGACACCCTCCTCCTGGGTGTCCTTATGCAAGGGGATCATGGCCTTATCCCCACCCTGTCAGCCTCCTGCCTGCCTTCTGTCTGCAGGGTCTCCTTCCTCACTGGACTTCGGAAGGCCTGTGGCCCTCAATAGTCCCAGATAAGAAGGCCGGGTTGGAAGGAGGCAGCCCTGGAGCAGCCTGGAGAATAAGACACAGCCTCTAACTTCAGGCAATTGCCCGCTCTCCTTCAAGGATGCCGTGACATAGACCACACAAACCACAATTCTGCACAAGTTTCAGAAATAGCTTATCAGCTTTCACATGGACCCTGCAGTTTCCTTGTATTTGTCAAGCTTGAAATTATTTTTCATACACCTAGAGGAAGCAAGTGATGCAATAGCTAACTCGTTTTCCTCTTGAGAGCCTTATGTGAATATTTTTATGGGCCCCAAATTAAAAGGGCAAGGTGTCAATGTCGTGGCCAAAAGCCAGACCACCATAAACTTACAATGTGAATCTCCGCTGATTTGCCGTCAGTAGAGAGAGTTTGGTAGGAGTTTGAACTGTTTTCTCCCACACTGTCACACTAGACGGCTCACTGCTGCCCATTCGTACCACCAATCATTACAGCAGCACCCCCATCAGCTGGTTATTCTCCCAACCAACATCCTTCCCAGGGTCATATAGATTCCACACCGAAAGGATGAGAAAGAAAACAGGACACAGAACAGACCAGAGACTTGTGTAATGTTTGAAGCCACTTTGTTCCTTGCTGTCAAATCACCTCCAAAGATGACCCAAAGAAGGAAGTTTCCACCCCACCCACCACTTCCTTTCACACCGAGCATTCACTCTCATTCCCTCATGCTACACCTCTTGCCTACTCCCCCTCCCGAAAAGCTTTCTTAGTATCCTACCTCAATTTCTTCTGCTGTAACTTCAGATCATTTTCTCCAGCTCTAGACCTGGAGAGAGATGGCCAGCAGGTGAGTGGTTCTTAAATCGTGCCAATCATATGTGTTCATATGTCAGTAAATCTCGTGTGGGGTGGAGAGACTCGCCCTTTCCTAGAAACACTGCATTACTAGGAAAATAAACCTAGGGTAGCTGGAAGGTGAGATGGACGTTGACTGGTGCAGGGTGTGCCTTGTTTGCTCATGGAGAGGAGGAAGGTCTTGGGCCTTTGACGTCGATATGACAGGACTCAACTGAGAACGGACATCCCAGAACCACAGCTTATGGAACCTCAGCATCCAGATGTCACGGAACCATGGCACCCACTCAAGTTGCTGGAACATCAACTGCCCACCCGAATGTCTAAGTTCCCTCCTTAATGTCAGGAGGCATTAAGTTTGGGGGATCCCCCAAGGGGTGCCACTGATAAGGGCTGTCACTTCAAACTTTTAAGGGTCCAAGAAGCTTGTCAAAAACCTCATTTCTTAGCCTCCTCCCTCAATCCCACTTTGCTACTGTTGCTGTGGGGTTGTGTAATATTGTAATACAAAAAAATAGATACAATTAGTCTTGGCACAGAGCTCCTAAAATCCTTGAACAGATGCTCCTTAACTTATGATGGGGTCACGTCCCAATGAATTCACTGAAGTCAGAAATATTGCAAGTTGAAAGTGTACTCAATACCCCAGTAAACCCATTGTAAAGTCAAGCACTTTAAGTTGAATCATCCTAAATCCAGATACAGCTCAACTTACCACACAGTTACATTCCAACGAACCTATTTTTTTATTATTTATAATAAGCTCCTTTCAACCATACCCAAGTTTATGCTCATGAGGTGATTCTTGGAGGAAGAATAGGGGCTGGTTGCCAGAAAAACCAACCACGCGATTATAGTGTTGGAACTTTCATTCTCACCTTTGACTCTGGGGAGAGGAGAGGAGCCCAGGGACTGAGTTAATCGCCAATGGCCAGTAATTAATCAATCATACCTAAATCATGGAATCTCCGTAAGACCCTAAACAAAGAAGTTTGAAGAGATTCCAGGTTGGTGAGTGCATCAACATGCTGGGAGGGTGGCACATCCCACACTCCACCAGGGACAGCAGCTCCTGTGCTCAGATGTGTACCCCTTCATCTGGCCATGAAATCACCATGATCCTGGTGATTTTAAAGCCGTATACATGATCATATAACACCAAGGCCTTTCAGTTCCTTGTCCTGCTCACGTCCAGTGACCTTTACTTTTGCCACCCACCCTAGTGGCCACTCTCTTGATCTAGTCAGGATTCAGATTTCACCACCTGAAATTAAAAATCTAGGCATTGTACTCACTTATAGTTCTCTTCCTAAGCCGTTTCTTACAACATCTGATCTTTAACCTTCAATCCTTGACCCCTCCACAATCTACATGTCTGTCATATCTCATAAAATAACATAAGAAACAAAAATGTGGACAGATTAAGTAACCTGCCCAAGACCACAGTGGTGTAAGATCAGAGTTGGGATTCAGATCTGAATGTCTGTCATCCCAGCCCACGGGCTTCATTATCAAAATATACCTTTTCTTGCTTTTAGAAAGAATTCAGTAAAAGCTTCATAAGTGAATGGGTTAATGGACAGATGGGCAAATAGATTGATAATTAGATGTATGGATAGACAGATGAAGAAACAGCACGTTGTACCACCTCATAGTATTGATTATATAGTAACGTCTACTGATTATTTAGGTACTTTTCTTGATTTTCCTGCCAGCTTAGTGAGTAACTTGAAGGTGGAAATCCACTATATTTAACTAGCACTAGCTTTCAAATGTAGAAACTACAGAAGAAAAGAGAGATAAATTCAGTCACATTTAAAAAGATCTGCACAGGGAAAAAAAAAACCTGTAAGTGCAGTGACGAGGGACAAATGACCAAATAAAAATGGAACAACTGCCATCAAAATCATAGGGCTAATTAATCACCCTTTATACAGAGCTCTTACAAATAGAATTTATCAACTACCAAGAAGAACATCGGGCAGAAGTATCTCAACAGACATTTCATAGAAAAAGAAATACAAAATGTCTCTAAAGCATATTAAAAGATACTCAGTCTCACTCTTATAAAGAAATGCAAATTAAAATAGCACTGCATACTATCTTCCCCAATCAGATTGACAGAAATCCAAGTGTTTGGTAACACAGTGTTGGTATGTGCGGGAGGAAATAGGCACTCCTATGTACTGCTGATGGAAATGTCAACTAGTACTCCTTTAGAGGAGTAGGAATTTGAGAATTTCCTCTAAGATTACAAATGAACATTCTCTTTCAGCCAGCAAGTCTGATGTTAGAAATTTAACATACATATATTCTCATGCATATGTGAAATAATATATGCATATAAATATTGCATCAATGTTTCAAAAACATTTGCTTCAAATTTTGGAAACCAACCAAATGTTTAACAATGGAAGTTAAGCTAAATAAACTAGCTACATTCATACAGTAGACCACTGTGCAGCCATTAGTAGGGGGTAGGGTGCAGAAGGGAGCTTTTGCCATTGGAATAATCTCCAACATAATTGATACGTTAAAAAAAAAAAAAAGCTTGATGGTGCCCATCTTGTATGAGCCAGGAACAAAGCAACCCCTTCCTTATCCCAGCTTGGCTTTCAGTCTATGCCCATGCCTGGTTTATGCTTTGGACATGTAGATTACTGAATTTAAAAAATAAAAATACATTTAAAAGCAAGGTACAGGTTGGGTGCAGTGGCTCACATCTGTAATCCCAGCACTTTGGGAGGCCGAAGCGGGTGGATCATGAGGTCAGGAGTTCGAGACCAGCCTGGCCAAGATAGTGAAACCCTGACTCTACTAAAAATACAAAAATTAGCTGGGTGTGGTCACGCACGCCTGTAATCCCAGCTACTCAGGAGGCCGAGGCAGAAGAATCACTTGAGCCTGGGGGGTGGAGGTTGCAGTGAGCTGAGACTGCGCCACTGGACTCCAGCCTGGGTGACAGAGCCTCCATCTCAGAAAAAAGCAAAACAAAACAAAAAAGCAAGGTACAGAACAGTGTGTGTAATATGGCATTATTTGCATAAATGGGGGAACAATAAATAACATTCTTACTTGCTTTTTATCCAAAGAATATCTCTGGAAGGATACATCAATAAACTAGTAAAGATTGCTTCTGGAGAGAGAAATTAGATGTCTGGAACCAGGGGCAGGAGGGAGCCTTTCCCCCGTGTTTTTAAAATTTTGAACCAGAAAGTGTGTAATCTAAACAATTACTTAAATTTTAAAATGTTTAAGAAAAGAAAGAATCGGTGGTCAGAATGAAAGAAACTCTGGACTAGTCAAAGAATCTGGATTATGATCCTAATTGTAGAGATTTGCAGCTTCATGTTCAGGGGCAGCCACAACTTCAGCCTCCTTTACAGGAAAGTGGATGAAATGTCACAGCTGGAAATGGATGTGCTTCATAAACTACAAACCAATGTGCGATTGTCAGCGTTCTTACTTCCCTGAGTCAGTCTATTCAGCAGAGCTCCTTGCATATATTTGATGCTCAGTAACTGTTTTAAAGGAGTAATCTTATCTAATTTCTCCTACTTTAAAAATATTGGAGACAAGAGTCAGGAGATTTTTGTCTTCTCTTTTTCCTTTATGACTCTTAATTGCCTCCGTTTTGACATTTCCCAGCAGAAAAGACCTACCTCCTACCCATTTCTCACAGCTGCTCCAAATACTTCACATCAGTGGAAGCTCAGCTCAAGTCCTAGTTTCCTGAATTGAACTTTCCTAACAAGTCAGCCTTCATTCTGATGAATGGGGGCTAAGACCTACCCCATAGGTTACTTGCCAAGCTAAGGGCTCTGGCTCAGAGCAGCAGTAGCCCCAAGGAAGTGAATGGATCCATCCTAATTTGCACAAAGGTGTCAGAGAGGCCTGCAGGCCTGTATGTATCTCTCTTTTTAAAATCGCTGTCTCATTGATTACCATTTGATTTTTGCCAACTTCCCTGGCTTTGGCTCATATTTAGCTCTATGAGGGATAGGACTATATCTTTCCATCTTTTCATACTTTCCTACACCTAGCCCAGGGCTGGGCACCTTAAACCACTCACTAAAGGTCTCCAACTAAGTCTTAAACTCAAATCCCAGCGATATTTTCTCGGTTCACATCTGAACTGATGACTCAAACGTTAGATCATCCGCAGTTCCCTCCTTGAAATTCTCCCAACTTGCTCCTGGGTTCTCTCTCACTTATTGGCTGATGCATAAAAGGAAATCTACTCTATCCTGGTGCAGCGATGTGGAACTATGTGGACTTCACAGGTGGAGAGGCCGGATTCAGATTCTCATTCTACCTCTGCACAGTTGTTAGCACTATGCAGATCCTGTAGCCTCCTTAAGGCCGGATGCCATCCCTAGTCTTGATATTCCTATTGAGTTTAAATTTTTGTGCATTCTTAAATGTCCCATCACCACCGCAAGTTCAATGTACCTTCTAATTACTCTTACCTGGATTATCTGCCACCCTGCCCAGAACAGGCAATGGACAGGGTCATTTAGCTGTTTTCGGCAGTTGTCTCTTGGTGGGCAGTAGGTGGCGCTGTCTTTCAAGATAGGACATGGCTTCTGGTTCACCTCCGGAAGGTGGAGCGTTGCTGCCAAGACTAGGGCACTGGGATTTTTCATTTTTTAATGGTGGCTTAAAAGCTGGTAGAGTAATTTCCTAGGACAAGAAATATTTGGCTGTGGAAATCTAGCTGTGAAATACGTAGATTGACGTTGGGAGGAGAGAGGAGGGAACGGGAGCATAAAACTGTGTAAGAGGAATAGGGGTGGCCCTAAGAGAGGCACAGAGCCTGCAGGGCTGCAGAAGGCAGGCGACCAAGGAGGGAACTTTACCAGTGAGATGTCTTGGGCAGAAATAGCGAAGAAATGTTTAAGAACAGAAATGCCTAATACTGAACCTTAAGTTGTCTGCTCTGAGAGTGTGTCCTCTGACGAAACCCATCCTCTAACCCCACACTCAATACCTTTTATCCCTAGACTTCCAGGAAATAAGCAGTCAATCTGTTATACATAGTGTTGAAAATAGATGCTTGGTGCTACAAAGAAAAATTAGCACTGAGACAAAGGATCTCTCAGCAAAGCAATTTTTACTTCCTGCAGGAAGGGTACTCTGGCCAGCCATCTTGCCACGAGAGTGCAATGGACAAAGGAAAAGCAGACATATTTATCCTTCATGCATTTGGAATTGTCCTGACTGCTGTGTCTGATCTCCATTGGTTAGAGCCAGACCTCACAATTTAAACTAAAACCTGATTGGCTAATAACTTAAAACTTTTCTAAACAGGTAAAATCAATGGAGAACAAAAAGGAAGTCTAAATAAGGAAGGGGCATAGGCTGTGAGCTGGGACATGCCTGTGAGTATGTCCAGCACAGATACCTTGGTTAAGGTACAAGGACGTAGAATGTACTACATGCCTATAAGCATGTCTAACAGCTACATATGATAGGGCTTTTAGCAAAAAGCAAGAAGGCTTTGAAGAAAGTCTTTAAAATAAACTATTCCTTCTAAAACTTATGAAACTTTGAAGAGGAACTACGTGGACTTCACAGGTGGAGAGGCTGGATTCAGATTCCCATTCTACCTCTGCACACAGTGACTCGAGTAAGAGGAAATTTAGAGGAATCACAGGAAAGGTGCTATGCTCTATGTTTGATGATGGAGTTCTCAGAAAAACAGGGTTGGGGAGGAGCAGGGGTTCAAGATCTGGGATTCAGGAGGCACTGGGGACTCAGCAGAGCCTTGGGAGTTGCTGGTGAAAGCAACAAGTTATTGGTAGAAACCTCTGAGTTCCACCCAGTGGCGTGGAGGGAACAACCTCCAATACAGCATGGCCTCACTTATACTCAGAGTGTAAAAAAGTTAACCCATAGAAGCAGATAGCGTTAATACAGTGGTGGTTGCTAAAGGCGGTGCAATGGGGGCATGGAAATGGGTTGGTCAAGGGATACAGTTTCAGTTACTTCAAGAAAGAATACTTCAAGAGCTCTATTGTACCTTATGGTGATTTGTTAGTAATGATTCACTGTTATTGAAAATTGCTAAGAGAGTAGATTTTAAATATTCTCATCACAAAACAAGAAAACCAAATGAAAGAAAACTAAAAGCCTGAAATGCATTGAGGCCATTAGGCATTCATCAGATTATAAGGAATCCTTATTTCAAGTCCTACAAAAGAGTTGCTCCTGAGAAGCACAGCCAGATGGACCAGTGTGGGCATTTTAGATGGCAAGGTTATGGAAAGGAATGAGTCCACCCCAAGCGGAATGCATATGAGGGGCTAGCTTACAGTAAATACTTAACTGGACACACCTATTTCAACAAAAGGATAAGGTTACACAATCAGCTACTTCCCTATAATAGGGGAATTTATGAGCTTCCAACTGCAAACACTGAGGCACAGGGAAGAATCAAAAAGAGTAAGCAAATGCAGAGAGTGATGTTTGGTGAGACAGACAGTAAGAGTCAGCCTGAAGTGGGACCCCAGCAGGGAGAATCTAGAGACAATCCTGCTGCAATCATGAGGTGTGCAGAGGAAGCTCTGCTGTGAAGTTCATCCCTTGCACCGGCCCTTTCCAAGGCCCCAGAATTCCAAGCAATGTGTTCACATGGTCATACCAGGTGTTTTGTAAAATTTGCAAAAGTAATATATTTTAACCACGGTTAGGACTATTGTCTCCTTCCATGCCAACTTCCCTCTGTCACAGTTTCTCTTGTATCAGGCAACATTTGGGGGATCTAGCTAAGGGGAAATTAAATTGGGGTTACATTGGTTGAGCTTACGAGGACATGTGGCTCATAAGCACTTGCATGTATAGCCAAGTTATTGCTACCTGTCTCAGTGTAGAAGTGGCTTACAGGAACCACCGCCCACTGAGACAACTCACTTGACATCAGAGACTAAAGTGCAAGGTCAGAAATCTGTCAGGATAAGAATGGGTGCTGTCACATGAGGCACCAGAAGTCTGTGGACAGTGAAGCTAATAAATCCTTTTAACCCCTAGATGTAGAAAATTACAAGCATAGAACTCAGTCTCATCAAAGTCGAATCAAAATGGAAGTCCTCTTCTTTAGGAATATACTTAACAACAATTATACATATATAATTATACATACATCATGAAATAAAATGATCTCTTACATATTTGCACATGAAATTAGTAAAAGTTATTCTGACATCAGAAAGGGAATTGGAAGAAGAAAAAATGTTTGGTTCCAGTCGAAAGCAGTAATTTATTGGAGGGAAGGGATACATTTTAAATAGATGCCTAGCCTATTTGACAATCACTTGAAGAATGAACCGCATAAACATACTAAAACTTAAAAGGTTTTGACATAAAATATTGACATTGACGAACAATTTCTACTACACCTTTACAACAAGGATTTAACAATAAACAGCTCAATGACCTGTAGCAACTTAAAAGAGTATTTAAGATTAGTCACTGCACAAATAACTTGAAATGCTCTGAAATCTCAGACTTACATAGGAAACTCTTCAAAGAGGCGTCTCCAAGATTAATAGCACTAAAAATTTTACCAATAATGATTGTGAAACAGATATTAACTTTCCTAAACTTTCAATTAAAAAAATGTTTTTTGCTTACCTATGCTAGATGAAATACCAAATT